GGGTTTTAATAGGAACGGGATGGCTGACAGGCACGAACATCGAGACAATACAATGACGGATCTGGGGAAGACTGACTCAGACGAGGACTAAATGCAAAAGACAAGCTAGACATAACAGGACTCAGGTGATCACAATCAGGGCTGAACACGAGGTAACGAGGTGGGCGTGGCACACATCGGGATCGAACGGAGCGGATCGTGACACCAGGGAAAAGGCGTGGCAAAAGATTGCGGACAGACTTAATGCGTAAGTTATGTAAACGTTACAAGTGTATCATGGGTACAGTGGTTAATGTTTCGCACTACTACGGTTGCTGGTTCGATCCCTGTGGCTAACGTGGACCCTTCTGTGTTGAGTTTACATGTCGATCTTATATTATAATGTTCTTTATTATTTGATCTCTGTAAATACTTTAAATTGCACCTGTATGAAATGTTCTGCACAAATAAGCATATTAGAAAATATCTGATTTAAGCCTACTTGTAACCACGTAAGTGTAATATAACTAGGTTGTTAATAAGAGCTTTACTGACTTAGATGTGTGTGAACTCTACTGACCCAGTAGCCTTACCCTGGTCTTACATATTAATCCTTCACTATTACATCTCAATAGAAGCAATCTAAGTGGACAGCGAAGAACCTGGCAGCAAGTAAAAACTAAATATAAAAATATCTTCCATAATGGTAAGTAGCTTATAAAGAAATTGCAATGTGATCTCAATAGTAGATTAAAAATGTATAAATGTCACTGTAGCTGCCAAGAGAAAGAGGCAGGCAACTGCTACTGGTGGGGGGGCCTCCACCTGAAGACCTCACACCAGCAGAGGAGCTGGCACTGAGCCTTAATGGAGGTCGGCCTCAGATGGAGGGAATAGAAGGTGGGGTATCAACAGAGATCATCCCCTCAGGTGTCCGGGAGAAATATGTACAAGGTATTGTCCACTACTTTCCCTCCGGGTGTCAGTCTCTTAGTTGTGATAATTGATAAGTGACGGTATGCCCATCTATGCAGTGAGAGGAGATTATGTAGTTCTGCTTGATCCCCCAGCTACATTTGTGCAAGACACTCCTGACCCATGTGTAAGTTAGTCATAGTTTTGGTTTACAGGCTATTCTGTCATGCTATCTTCTCTTGCTTTAACAGATTTAGTTTTCCCCATTTTGCAGTTTGATGGCCCCAGTAAATCAAGGGCTGTTGATGAAGAGACAGTGTCTGCAGACACCGATATTCAGGAGGTAAGCCCAAATGTGAAATGGTTTGGATATGTGTGCAATCTGAAGAACTTTGTTTTATTAACAGTAAACCTTGTTGCAGGATGTGCCCACACCACCGTCCCCATCAGCAAAGAGTGAAGTGAGTAACTACCCATTATTACCAGCAACATACTTGGCATCTTTGTGACGCATTATCTTTGTCACAGGATGTTCGAGCCATTTACAAGCAGAAGCTGCTCTTGTCGATTGAAAGAGAAAAGCTAGACATAGAATACAAAAAGCTTCTCATAGAGAAAACGAAGTTGGAGATCAAGAAACTACAGACTGAGGTAAGTATACATTGTAACAATGCAATAGTACATGGGTCAAACTGGGTTTTTAATTTTCTGTTGTCTTTCTCTCCACAGCTTCAAGCAAAGGATGATTGACATGTCTGTTCTGAATCTGTCCAATTAGGAGTAATTGGGCAGATTCAGAACAGCGACGGTAGGAGGCAGAGTTGTGAAACAGCACCACCAGCTGGTGATGTAATACATTGACATTTTTGCACCTTAAATAAAGTATTCCAACTTGTTTAAATTAGTTTGTTTTATTTATTTATTTTATTGGGAAAGTGTCCCAAAACAATATTTAACATGAAAAAATGTTATGTTAAAAAAAAAAAAAGGTTACTAATTAGACGATCTCTAGTTCTGAAATGCCGTCTGTTCTGGACAATGTGAATAAAGGAAATAGTGTCCATTTTGAGCAAGTGTTTTATTTATCCACCACTACATGAGCTGGGGGTTGGGGCTCAATGGTCACCAGTGGCTTTACATAAAATAACTGTCCCTGTAAAGGTCCCTTACAGTCCGTCCTTCCAATCTTTCCTCAAGAGCTGGTATGTCTTCCCACTGCTCCTCCACCAACACTGTCGGCAGCTTCTCCTGGCATATGGTAGCTATATTGTGTAGCACAGCACAGGCAGCCACAATGTTGCATGCTCGGTCCGGCCTTACTCTAAGGCCCTTCAGGCACTGGAATCTGCAAAGGTTAAAGCAGTGAGAGCTGTGTTAGCCTTAAGTTGCCCTGCAATAGTTGTGATATGTGTACGAATTTCAAACCTGGATTTTAATTGGCCGAAGGTCATTTCTCTTCGTGCCCTTGTTTTCGAGTGGGCGTTGTTAAATTGCTTTTCTGCCTCAGAATGAGGTTCTGGGTAAGGGGTTAGGAGGTACGGCATGCAGGCATAACCCCTGTCCCCAAGCAGGACTCCATTAAACTCCCCTGCAGAAGAAGGTATCAATTACATATGCTGTGACATTCCTACAGTTCAAGAACCCCCCCCCCCACACACACACACACACACACATATATACACTCACCTAAAGGATTATTAGGAACACCATACTAATACGGTGTTTGACCCCCTTTCGCCTTCAGAACTGCCTTA